GGTTGAAGATGAGGCAGTAACTCGTCGAAGAAGACATTGTGAAATGGTCGCGCTATGTCGTGAATTGGCAGAAGTTAGAATTCAAGGACCATTGGATCGGCGGGTCCCAGTAGCTCAATGGTCTACGAGCTCGCTGGCTTGTAACCAGAAGGTCCTGGGTTCGAACCCCTTGTGGGTTGGGTGCGTACTGATGAAGAGTCCTAAACCAGGATGAAACAGCTGTCCATTACTTCCAGGTTTTCCAGTGGTTCTGTAACTGATGTCAGCTCATGGTGAAATCCTCCATGCAATCAAACAAAATCCCCACAAAACCAATTCTTAAATTAGTAACTGAACTGCAAAGTATAAGCAAAGATTATTTATTGTTAAGTGTATTATCTATGCTATTATCTATCTCTATTTATACTTCATTATGTTTCCATCAACATTCTGTTTATGGTCGTTTCTTTGTTATTACTATTTTTAATTTTATGTACGTACATATTTATTTAAAAGGAGCTAGATTATTGCAATATGTATGTTAAAACGCTGAAAACTCCATTGTGTATAATTATCATTGTTATTGTTGTTGTTTGGAATAAAGTGATTATTGTTTTTATTATTATGATTATTTATAATAACAAAAATTATAAATTAGTATTAATAGCAGTCATAGCATAACAGATAGAATAACGAAGCAAAAGATACTAATCTTGTAGTAGGTTCAAAGTAATCACAAATTCTTTCTGTGCAAAGAGACTGGGCACATATACATATATATATATTCTTGGACCCACACAAAAAACTTGGAGGATCTGGACTTCGCCGATGATATTTTTCTGATTTCCCACAAACTCGAAGATATGCAAGTGAAAAGCAACAAGTTGGCAGAAGAAGCATCAAAGATAGGACTCCAAGTAAACATGGAGAAAACAGAGGTGATAAAAATTCCTGTACCACAACAACATAAACAATTTCATTAACCTTCCTGAGAAGCATCGTTTCAACTAGAGGCGGACCAAACTGACGAGGATATCAAAGCAAGAATCGGAAAAGCAAGACAAGCTTTCACTACTCTCAAGTCTGTGTGGAGGTCAACAGCACTCAGCATCAAAAATAAGATCCGGACTTTTAACTCCAATGGGAAGTCATTGCTACTATACGGATCAGAGACTTGGCGCCGCGTCACTAAGGGGACTTCGAACAAACTACAGACCTTCATTAACAGTTGTATTCGCTCAATACTCAAGATCAGATGGCCGGTCAGAAAAGATCAGCAACAGAGACGGATCTCTGGCAATGAGCAAGCCAACCAGGAACCGATTGTGAAACAAATAGGCAGGAAGAAATGGAAGTGGATTGGCTGGCCATACTCTGAGGAAACCATCAAGTGACATCACTAGACAAGCCATTGCTCGAGTGGAACCCGAAAGGGAAGTGGCGAGTTGATCGTCAATGTGAGGGTGACTTGGAGGAGGTCATGTGAAGAGGAGATGAGGGAGCGTGGGCAGACTTGGAGCCAGGTGAAGACTGTAGCAGAGAACCGAACTCAGTGGAGACGCATGGCTGAAGCCCTATGTTCCTCTAGGAATTAAAGGAAATAATAATAATTAATAATGATAATAATAATAATATATATTCTAAATGGACGGGCGTGTTTAATTGAAACTCCATCTACTGACAACGTCAGTGTTATTTATCCGTAGTGTAGAGAAGACGGTTTGTTTATCGAACTGTGTTTGCTATTGAATATGCTTCAGTCTTTATCAACAATTGGGCTGGGCAAATGCTTGATCTCATGAAATACACATTCGTTTTCATGTACTACTAACTGTGTGGCGTGTGCTACTGGTTAAGATTTATCAGTAGTATATAAAGAGATGTTCATCGGCATAAAAATATCAAATGGCCCAGAGATAGATAGATTTGATATGAGAGAAAGTAAATGATGCAGCATTGCAGTCAAACATGGAAGACACGAAAAGAAGACAAAGGAACACAATACACGAAGGATAGAATTAGCATAACTCGGAAGACTTGTGCAAATGGTGATTTGGAGATAAGGTGTACATAATTTGGTTATGTGGAGATACCAAATTCTAAATTATCATTCCTTTACCAAGTCTCTTATCTGGTACCGTTACATCTATACATTTTCTTCCATAAATTATTATTATTGTTTCCTTTAATTTCTAGAGGAATACAGGGATTCAGCCGCACGTCTTCATTGCGTTCTGTTCCCTGCCAACGTTTTCACCTGACTCCATGTCTGCCCACATTCTTTCATCTCCTCTTCACATCACCTCCTCCATGTCACCCCACTCTCTCACTGACGACCAACTTGCCGCTTCTTATTCGGGTTCCACACGAGCGATGGCATGGTGTGTGATGTCACTCACTTAATGGTTTGTTTTCTCAGAGTATGGCCAGCCAATCCATTTCCATTTCTTCCTACGTATTTGTTGTAAGATTGGTTCCTGCTCGGTTGGCTCGCTCCCAGAGATCTCTCACTATTGCTGATCTTTTGTGGCCGGCCATCTAATCTTGAGTCTTCCATAAATATACTCAAATTGTCAAACTTCAGCTAGAAATGTCAAGGATTAGCAACCAGTCTCACCCAGATTGTTTGAGTACTCGTTTGATGGTGTTGAAGAACAAACGAGGTTAATTGTCATAATTAGTAATTGTTCTTCATTAAAATCCTTCTTCATGAACATTTGTTACTTGTTTGAATGTTGAAAACCAAAAAGAAGAAAAAACGCGCGAGAAAAGAGAAAATCAAGGATTAGTGAAAATGAGCAGAGTTTTCATTCTCATACGCCCGAAGAAGAAGAAACACAGAGCATACAAAGCTAGAAGATGGGCATTCATTGGACAGACAAAATGATTCTAAAAGGTCTGGAACTCATGGATAGTTTTTGCTTACTATCACATTAACTGGAAAATTGAACAACAACAACAACAGGCATTAATCAGCATTAATAGGAGAAATTTGATGGAAGTCACCCTTTTCATCTATCACTTCACTCACCTGACAGAACTTAAGCTGCATCATTTCAGCTAAGGGGATACTTTCACCATTTATTTGCCTTCAGTCAAGATTGAAGATCAGATGGCCAACCTGTCGACCATTTGTCCAATAAGGATAAGTAGGCAACAAAAAACTCTGACAACGAACCAAGCCAAGCATCTACTGCCAACAGATATACTGAAGGAAATAGAAATGGACTGGCCATAGGCTGAGGAGGCACCAATGAGTGAAATATCGTGCCATGATGTAGATTAGAACCCAAATAGGAAAGGTGAGATGAGCTGTGATTGGTTCCAAGTGTCACATAGGACAGATCATATGAGGAGGAAAGGAAAGCTTGTTTTAGTAATCTTTATGTCAATCAACAAAAACAAATAATGACTACAGTGAACAGAGTAAAAAGGAGATGTGTGTTGTTGAAGTCCTCTATTTTCCATTGGGAACTCAAATTAGACTCATAATATGTGGAAAATTCCCTTTAGGAAATATAGAAAATCAAAACAAGTGATGATTCAGTGGAGAGATTTTTTCAACGAATTTTTCATCATGCTGTACTATCGTATATCTATGGGATTTTTTTCAGAAATTATATCCACTGAAGGAATTGAATACATAAAATAATAATAATAGTTGTATGAGATGCACTTAAAATTAAAATGCTTATGATTATAATCATAGTTGAATATCAAGCGACAAAACAATTAATAGAATAATTTATAGGATGTATAGAAGTTGGGAGGTATGTAAGATTAAAGGATTAGTAGGCAAATAAAATAGAGACATTACGTAACATTGTGTGAAATTTGATAACACAGAATTCAATGTTGTGAAACAAAATTGATTTAGAATGGCAAATGGGACTAGTGAAATAGTACCGAGGACAATTCAAAGTGAGAATAATAATAGCGATAGCACCGTGCACTATCCAGCATGGTTACGAAGAGGTGGAAGTGAAGCTGTGAGAAGCGCGATCCTTGAACATCATCTAGTCGATACTGATCACCTTATCTCTGCAGCCTCAGTCTTTAAAGTCATCTACAAGGCGAAAAATAATTGGCTCAAATCATTACGTATCCGACTTTACTGTATTGCTGATGCTTTGGCCGTCGAAACAGACAAACCAGATGTCTGTCTGTATACAGAAAAATTTCTTTTAACTCCTCCAACTTTCATGGTCTTATTCCCTCTAAGTTAAATTATGATTATCCCCATTCATGTTTTGGCTCTACCTATTTTTTTCGTTTTGTCCATTCGATTTGTATACTCTTCTCTTATTACATCAATTGTTACTACTTTTATTATTTTCACTTTGAAGTTTCTCCGGTATTATTTCACTCCTCCCATTTGCCATTCTAAATCAATTTTTTTGCAACGTTAAATTCCATGTCCATCAAATTTCACACAATATTATGTAACGAATTTATTTTTATTTCAAGAGTTGATTTGTAAGCATTAGATTTATTTTTCGAGTTTGTCCATGGATTGATATCAGTTAGAGAACAATTGAAACCATTTGTATTTATATATTCTATTTGCCTACTAATCCTATAATTCTTCCACCCCTTTCAACATCTATACTTCCGATGAATTATTCTACATTTGACATTAATTGTTTTAGCACTTGATACTTAACATTTAATTATGATTATAATCACAAACACTTTAGTTTTAATTGCATTTCATACTACTATCATTATTTTATACATTCGCACCATTGATTCAATTCCATCACCGGATATGATTTGTTAAAAACAGTATATATGTGCTATTGCACAGCATGATAATAAATTCGTTGTTGAAAAAAGTCTCTTTGCTGAATCACTTGTTGTAATTTTTTAGACTAAAGATAATCTCTGACTTTATTCCTCAATTTCAACGATGAAATATTCTGTTTTCTTTTTTTTCTTATTCCTATAGAACCTGAAAGTCATTCACATTTTTACCTACCTAACTATCTATCTTGTTGTTGTTTTTCTTTTCTGTTTTCTAGGATGCAAGAATATAATGTAAAACCAGAAGATAAAGTTATTTGTTTCGGTCAATTACTTGGAATGTGTGATCAAATCAGCTTTACACTAAGTAAGTGAATATTCTGTTTCTCGAACTTCGATAATTGGGAATTTGATTTATGGTGTTTATGAGTCTGGCATTCAAAGGTGACACCATTTCTGAATTGATTAAAAATCGTTTATCTCAATGTATTAAACGCACTTTTCCTACAGTCGACTTGCAACTAGTTTTTACCAGCCGGCAATGCGTCAAGGATAGATTACCGCTTTTGTCCACATCCATGTGTATGTACTCTTTTACCTGCTCTAGTGGAGCTGATTACATTGGACGTTGTAAGCGTAATCTCCGAAAACATGTAGCTGAACACTATCCAGTCTGGTTAATGAAAGGCGAACGTAGAACTGCGAAGTCGTCTATCTGTGATCACCTGTTAGAGTCTGGTCATTCAGCCCCACGTGATTCATCTTTCAAAGTTATCTACTTGGCAAAATCGAATCGATCCAAAATTTCACGTCTTCTTCACTTATGCATAGCCGAAGCTTTAGCTATACATGAACAGAAACCTAAATTATGTGTTCAAAAACGTTTTGTCAAACCCCTTTCTTTACCTTGGTCATAGTAATGTTCTTTCTAGTTTCTACTTTATTTTATTTTACCACTTGAATTCTTTCCACTTCACTTCACATCTTCATTCTTATCGTAATCGTACTCCTAATTCTTTTTAAAAATTTTTAGACAACACTTGACATTTTTAAAACATTTTTGATATCAATTCACTTATAAAATAATCTTTAATAATTTTGTAATTTATCCACTTTGACTCTACCCCTTATAACATTTTAATTATGGTGTTTACCAGTCTCACCCAATTTAGTCTAGCTTGCCCCTATTCCACGGGTAGTTTGAAGTGATTCACCTCTTTGAGCAGCTAACTGAGTGAAATCACGTGGGCCGATTACTGAGGTCCGCTGTACACGATCGAAATGGCCCTCCGATGTTCACAGCACTTCGATCTAGCTAGTTAGCAAGTACTACTAAAACGATAGAAGACAAATACTTGGTAAAGGAATGTTTATGTGACCAAATTATGTACATCCCTTATCTTCAACTCACCATTTGCACAGGTCTTCGTGTTGTGCTACCTCTGACCTTCATTCATATTGTGTTTCTTTGTGTTCCTTTTATTCAAGTCGCCTATTTATCTCCACAACTCTGTCTCCTTTGCCTTCTCTGACATCAAATCTATCTCCCTACTACTTGATATTTTTATGCCGACGAACATCTCTTTATATATATACTACTGATAAATCTTATCAGTAACACACGCCACACTACTGATTGATGTGAGTGTCGGCCAACTACTCATGTCAGTTAATCAGTAGTATATTCCATATTGCATCCATCTTTTTTCAGATTTGTAATTTTTTTGCAAAATAGTTATGAAATGATGAAGTGATATAATATTATTTTAGGGGATTTTTCACTCACTTTAGCTCAAAAAACTCTTAAAGAGAAAGAGTGTGTGTTTGAATGGCTAAACTATCCGGGGATGAATTTATTCGATGTGTTTCTATTCAGCCGAATTTGATGAGGAAAACTGTGAAGCGCTTGGCAGATAAATTCCTATTCAACTATCCATTGTGAATAAAATTCGTGATTAGAAATTTACACAGTTCAATGTGATTATACTTCACCTAGGTCCAGAGCTTCCTATGGCCGATTGTCTCCAACCACCTATTAATATCAATAATTCACAGTGTAGTGCACTGTGGTAGTGAGCCACTTACCTAGTGACATGGTGGACACATTGCGCAAACGACTGATGATAGCATTCAGTCTAAACCATACGAAGGACTAGACGCATATTACACAATCAAAGTACCAAATACAGTCCTACAGGAGGTCAATCACGCCAGCCCAAATGGCTCCTCAGTGGTAACGTCTTTGACTGAAGCATCCTGGGTGATGTGGGTTCCTTCAAGCTTGTAGATACGCCTTGCTGATGACTAGTGAGTGCCAACTAGCACGAAACCTAGGTCAGGTAGGGTTTCCTGTGGCCGATTGCCTCCAACCATCTAAATATCAACAATACTTCACTATAGTTTCCGAAATTGTTCCGATCACAGTGTATCAGTGATTTGATTGCCTACAGGATTTCATCAACAGCTGATATCGGATGGAGAACCCATTGGAAAACCTAGAAGATGGCACTGGACAGCTGTTTCGTCCCAAATTGGGACTCTTCCGTAGCACACGATCAGTGGCTCAACGGTTCCCGAGCTCTCTTTGTGACCGGAAGACCCTGGGTTCGACTCCCGATGGGTCCGTAATGCTGAGTAACTGATATGTTTAGTTGAATACTGTTCAGATCAACCAGATAGATCGTAGTAATCTAAATACATGACGGTCTCATGGCTCGTTTTCGAGTCAAACTCATCAAAAGTGTATCGAGATGATGTGAAAGCTCAGATAGCCAAATCAGTTCAAGCCACCGAAATTCCGTCCAGCTAGGTAATTAATTTGGCCAACTAGTGTAAGATTCTGAGTCTATTTGCGATTGAATCTTATCTATTCCTACAGTTTACGTCTATATGTGTCATTCGGAAGGATGCTGATTGGAATTAAGCAGTGAGTGAGTTACATACGCATATACTCTTTGCAATCTAGATATAATGGAGAAGATTTGTAGTTCAGATGGTTGATTTTAATGTAGTTGTGTTCTCTTATTTTCTGGATGGTTTATTTGCGAAGCTTTCAGTACCCCTCCTTATACTAGGCAACATCTTCAGCGCATACTTCAAATTTCAAACACGACTGCCTCAAAATCTTTGCAATCCCCTATTATTATTGATTATTATTATTGTTTCTTTTAATTCCTAGAGGAACATACCGCTTCAGCCGTGCGTCTCCATTGCGTTCGGTTCTCTACTAGAGTCGTCACCTGGCTCCAAGTCTGACCACACGTTTTCATCTCCTCTTCACATGACCTCCTCCAAGTCACCCTCACACTGACGACCAACTCGCCGATTCCCTTTCGGGTTCCACTCGAGCCTTGGCTTGTCTAGTGATGTCACTTAATGGTTTCCTCAGAGTATGGCCAGCCAATCCATCTCCATTTCCTCCTGCCTATTTGTTTCACAATTGGTTCCTGGTTGGTTCACTCATTAACAGATATCTCTGTTGCTGATCTTTTGTGGCTGGCCATCTGATCTTGAGTATTGAGCGAAGACAATGTTAATGAAGGTCTGTAGTTTGTTTGAGATGCTCTTTATGACGCGCAGTGCAAGTCTCTGATCCGTATAGTGAGTAGCACTGACTTCACATTGGAGTTGAAAATGCGGATCTTATTTTTGATGCTGAGTGCTGTTGACCTCCACACAGACTTGAGAGTAGTGCAAGCTTGTCTTGCTTTTCCGATTCTTGCTTTGATATCCTCGTCAGTTCCGCCTGTAGGTAAAAGAGGTTGTTTCTTTCAGGTTTCTTCCATTTATGCTGATTGCTGTCTGTTGTTGTTGTTTGCAATCCCCTGGATCCATTCATTTCTGATTCCTCCTCCTCTTCTTCTTCTTCCAGTTGTTATTCCTTTTCCTGTAACATTTCAGTTTATTATTAGTATCTCAGTTCTGCTCTACCATTTATGTGTGTGCTTTTATTAGGAATTAGGGCAACTGAAACTGTTGTACTTTTATGAGAATTTCTATGTGGAAAATTCTATTCAGTTTCACATGAATAATATTTTTGGTGTATTTTATAAAGTGAATACAGCTCACTTAGTTTAGTTGAGGTGTTGGCTAATAATAATCAGTAAATACTATATCAAAAGTTTTATAGAGTATAAAATAATCAACGCATTTTTTCGCATAACCTAAAATTTGGTAAGTACGTGAAGAGTTCCTTTAATGGGAAACAATATAATTAAGAAATATCATTAAGACAGTTTAGAGTTGCTAATCCTGCCGTTGCATATAATGTTAGATAAACGGTTTTTAAGCTAGAACGCGAACGCGCTGATTTCAGTCAGAGAACCATTGAAAACTCCTAGGGAATATTGATGAACAGGTGTTTCGTCCCTTTTTGGGACTCCTCATCGGTACGTGTTCATCACTCTACCGGGGAATCCAACCATAGGATCTTCAGGTCATGAGGCATACTCGTTGCCCATTCAGCCACTGAGCGAATGGAGTTCAATGGCCCATCAGCTCTAACTTCTGCCCAATCCGCGATACTTATATGTGGTGGGAACAGCCAGTCAATATGTCGTCACACCCAACTTGGTGGACTCTGCTGTTCACGAACGTTTCTCACTAGAACTGTAGGCAAATTCGGGTGGGAGGAAAAGACAAACATCAAGTTAAGCGTTATTAATGGGAAATGCTGTTCAGGATTTAAAGAGAGAGAAAAAAAGCGATTTCACCCTAACATTTAACCGTAGTACCTCGTAACCTAGCTTTACTTAATCTAACACTGATCCCTCCAATCTCTTTCCTAAAACCCTAGTCATTTAGACGAATACTGAACTGCCAATGCTTCTCTGACTTCTCTGTAGACAGCTTATATATTAATGAGTTCCGATGCTGGAGATTAGATAGCCAGAACGTATCAGCAAGAAGAGGCAACGAACCAACTGACAACCCATTGCCTAACCCATATAACGAAGGAAATTGAGGTGGATTAGAGACACGCTTAGATGACCGACTGTTGAATGACATCATACTCCAGGTGCTGCCTCGAGTGGAACCTGAATTGGAAGGCGATCGACGAGTTGGGCGTGGACCTAAATGTGACATGGAGTAGATGAAGGCTTTAAAAGCATTCGGGGAGTTAGTTAAAAATAACTGTAGAGGGAAAGGGTTAGATGATGCAGATTCGCCACTGATGGCTAATGTTCCACATTGAACCCACATGAATGAAAATATCAATAATGGTGTTTTTCACTTGATTTCACTGATTTTCTATGATTCGCGAGGGTTCAAGACCGTTGGTGTGTTCTGATTTCGTTGTAGGTCATATAGAGTGAATAATGTTCTACCACACTATGTGGGATATATGTAATGAAAAGACGAAACCAT